AGACCTGTCATGCCCAAAGCTATGTATTCCTCCTGGACAACTTGGGAGCATTGTTAAGAAAATGCAGTTTCAGGACCAAACACCACACCACGTATTTTAGATCTGTCTCCTTAATTTTGGTTGCCTGCACATAGGCTCTTGATGCCTAACTGCTATTCATGTGAAAGAAAACAGCAAAGGCCTAACAGTCTGTGGGTATCTATTAGCCTTACCCTTCATATTTGCCACAGCAATCTCAAACATTTCCGAAAGATTGTTTTTCTTTTTTTCTGGCAAATCCTAATTCCCACTAGCCATTTTACAGAATTTTTCTTGAGCTACAACATGATTTAGTGAAAAGAGCTGGATTTAGGAAGGTCTGGGAGTAAGCTCTCACGGTAAGACTAGTGCTAGGACCTTGGCCAAGTCTCCTTGCCACGTTAATAGCCATGACTACCTACCTACCCATGACCAGCAAATGAGATTGCTATGCAGAGTCTTCTAGGCTGCTTGAGGCATTACGGCTCCTCAAATGGCTACGCTCTCCTTTTCTGTCTTAGAAGCCATCTTCTCCAGCATTTTTTTCAAGTCCAAACCAGATGAGGTGGTGCTCTGTTATAATCCTAGCTACTGGAGAGGCTGAGGTGGGAGGATCGCCTGAGCCCAGGAGTTTGACCTTGCAGTGAGCTGCGACCATTCCACTGCACTCTAGGCTGGGCAACAGAGACCCTGTCTCAAAATAAATTTCACCAAAGAAGCTGGTTTGGATGATTGACATTAGTCTAGTGACTGGACTGGTGGACCATTCCTGAATGGGACTCCCTCAGTCTGTGCTATATGGGTGTTTTGGAGGCTCTGGCTCAGGTATCAGGTAGATGATCCCTAGGCTCAGAGAGCACCTGTCCTCCAAGTTGGCTTTAGCATTGATCAAAGGATCTGGACCCTGTTTAAGTCTGAAAGCTGATGCTCAAAAGTAGACGACCTCAGCACCCACAAACAGACCTGCTATCCCCACGGCGATGGCTAGGAGTGAAATGAACAATGCATGTGCGTCGCGTACCCATCCTGTGAGCCACCATCAGCCCCCTCTGAGGGCTTCGTGTTCGGGAGCTTCGTCAGCCCAAGAGAACCATGGAAAATCCAGCCCGGCATATAGAAGCTAATTGATCTCACTTGCCCTGTTCCTACCTGGAGAGACAATTCACTGAACTTGCTGTTTCAGCCAGCTGTTAGACAGAACATGAATGATTTAATAGTTGAAGCTGGAGTACGTATATGCACTGGATAAAGTAATTATATAAATAATTTGGGGTTTTTTTCCATGGCTTCCTGGGAAACAAGAACATTGTTATCAGTCCAGGTTTTGTTAAATGAATAGATTATGATGAATTGCCTCATCCAAATTAAAATAGATCTCAGCTATTCAGGGCTTTGTCTTCTCCTTCAAAGGACAGAAGGCACCTTTGCAAATATGTTTCGTGGTTCTGCCAAGTTAAACACTCCAAGATCGAGACTCTTTCTCGTTTTGCCAAATGAAATGTTACAAAAATCCTGCCCAGGGTGGGGGGAACTTGTCAATATCTGTGAGGAGACTAATCACAAATACCTCCTCTGCACAGTAAAAGCATATCGCTACACATTTAGCCCCCACGATATTCACCACCTGTCTGTTAGATTAATCCAACCATGTATAATCTGTGAGAAAAGATACAACAGCTAACTTTGGGAGGTAAGCAGGAACAGCATGGTAGTTAGTTCAAACCAAGTCTACTGCCTTTGCTCAGAGACACGAAGACCTTAAATGATCAAAGAATATTCATGTGCGTGAATGGTGGTGTGGCTTTTGCTGTTGCTTTGTTAATTTGTTAAGTTAGGGAACCTTTCTTCTTTGGGAACACCAGACTCCTTGCTCAGAGTAAATCCTGGTGTGCTCACTGCATGTAATTTATTTTTCCTAGATGACGAATTTCTTTCATTTCCACAAAAGGGAGACTTATTTCAAACCCAAGTTGTGAGTAAGGTGTTATTTGATAACATATTAACAAGGCAATTATATACAGAAAAACGTGCAACAGCCCAAAATGTTATGAAATCTTCCAAGGCTTTGAAGTAAGTTTCTCATTCCAGTCTTCCAAATTAAAAATTTCTAGTTGAATTTAGTCGTAAGGAGCTCATTAGTTTGGTAGTAATCAGGTTTGTGTGCAGCTGAGGACTTTACTCACTGTAGTGTTGCAGCCCTGCTCACTATCTCTACAGAATCTGTATTCCCAATATTTTTGGGTTGAATAGCACCCCCCCGGAAACACCCACACCCACATCTAGATGTGGAAGTAAACCCTAGTGGCAAAGGAAAACAGCTTGCCTTTGAACTCTTATCAGGAACATAAATCAGTGGCTATCCCTGTGGCCAGCATCCAATTAGCAGAAAAGGAACAGTACCTTTCCAGGTGTCCTGAAATCTCAAAACATACATATATAACAGAAGATTTGGATCTACTGCTAATGAGACGGCTGGTGGGGGGAAAGAATGTAACAGAGAAGAAATGGCAGGCACACACATGCACCTCCAAAGTCTCCTCTATCCCCTAACAAGAAGCATATTGAGATCTCTGGGAGACTGTCAACAGATTCCCCTGCAAAGTAACCCAGTCCATGATGAATCGGGGCTGGCTCTGTCTCAGATTTGACGTGGATGTAGGGAGACAATATAGCAGCTTGCACAGGCAATAAGAGGGACTCCAAACTGAGAGGCTCTAAGAAGCAGAGAGAGAATAGAAGTAGAAAGCTTTTCCCCAAGCCTGACCGGGGTTGCCTTTGTGTTGCATGATGGATAAGATCATAGGCTGTGGTGTCAGGCTGCCTTGGATCAAATCCCTGGGTGAGTATCCAAGCTGCTGCTCTATACCTCCATCTCCACCCCAGCAAAGTGAAGATAGCAACAGTCGTGGTTCATACGGTTTTGTGAGATGTTAGTGGGTTAATCTCTGGGTCTGGCAATTAGCAAGTGCTAGTAAATCCTAGCTGTTCTCATGCAATTGAATTTCCTTTACCTGATAATGGAGTCTCAAGGTTCGAATTTTGCCAACTGCAATCACATTGTGCCTTGAATTACTCCAGGTATCACTGCCTGGGTTTTTAGACAAGTGAGGTCCAGAATCCCTTATCACTAACTCCATCACCAACCCATAGTTTCTCTGGGAATATGCATCCTTCTCAGGCAGCATCTTAGCCACTGTCACAACGTGTTTGAGGATTGCCACCCATTGTCTTTTGTAACTGAAGGACTGTGCCTTTCTGAGTTCATTATTCACTGGAGTTAATACACCTATCAATGATATCATCTTGTGCTCGGTTCTCTTCCAGTTGCTGGAGACACAGTAGGGACCAACATAGAGTCCTCAGGACCTCCCTACTGAGATACCTGTAAGGAAGTTGAAATCAAGTCAGGTGATAAGAAATTGAGGAGAAGGAAAAATAAATCAACAGCGGGGTAATATGATGGTAACTGGTAACTGTCGTGGGGGTCAGGAGTCGTGAGATTAGATGCAGAGGTGAAGCCTTTGGAGGAAGTGATGTTGAGATTTGAGATCTGAGTTTGGGAGTCAAGTTCACAGTTAGCAACTGGACAAAGGAGAGAGAATCTGCAAAAGTGACTGAAATGCAGCCAAGCGAGGCTGGAGGAAAAGGAGACATTTTAGCCTCTTACAGTCTTATTCCGCAAGTCTAGCTGAAGTCGAGATTTAGTTCAATAAATTTGGCTTAGACAATCAGGGCAGTACGTTGTCACCATCTTTCCCCCTTCCCTTCAAAACTGTGCATTTCTCTCCAAGTTCACATTCTTGCCAATTCCTTTGACGTATCCCAATCAGACCTATAACAGCCTAGAAACTTCTGGTTAATTTGGATTTGGTTAAAACTTTTGTACCATGACGTTATGTAAAGAGATTCAATTATGGTACGCAGTGTTTTGTGAGTAACTACCGCCCATAAAAAGTTAATTAATCAGGGCTGTGTCAATTTCCTCGTGCCATGTCAATTTGCTGCAAGGTAATTAATCACTAATCACCCACCAAGCAGCAGGCCGAGGGACAATCCACGAGTCATTTATTGTCTTTCCCCAAATAAATGGCACGCGCAGCTAGGAAGAAACGCATCTTGCCTTTCATAATATTTTTATCGACACTTTTGCATGTTGTAATAGACTGCAGCAACAAGCAGCTGCAGTTCAATGGAATATGAATATTAAAGAAACAAATGAGCGGAGATTTATAGGACATTGCGTTTCTGTAATGTCAGTGTTGAGATTAAACCAAGCAAATGAACAGTGAAAAATTACTCTTCCATGTGGAGAATGGTGATTAGACTTGTACATTAATTAGAAATTTTTGTTTTCCTATTCAATGCATTTCAAATGAGGATGTCCTAGAAGAAACTGTTTGTCCAAAATGTAGATTTATTCCCTTCTAAACAGCAGTATTTAATAGCAACATGCATTTCATACTGAAACAAGGGTCAATCCCAAATGTGTGTTTCGGGGATAAATCTATGTGGATATGAGAACCGGAGATTCCAGAAATTAAGTGGCCATTTTGTCTTTTTATTAGTGACTGAAAGGATGGAGCCTTTCTCCTCCACCCTCACCTTTTTTTTTTTTTTTTTCGGCCAAACTCTGAAATTACTGGATTTTTAAAAATGAGGAAAAGCCTTTCCATTTTTGTTTGGAGGTAGCATTTAATAGGCTTCATCATGTTAAAATGTTCATTCCAGGCCATTTAAAGAGAGTGTGACCTAGTTGCATGTAAATTCTGTGTCATAAACCAATTTGATGCACTTTTGAGATTCGTTCTGAAAAAGGAGAAAACATATTTTGCCATTTGGAAAAATCAGATTTTTTGACTCTTCATTGTGATGTTCCTTGCACGACGCCCTGCCTCTGAAATTGCTGCTCTATGAGCTATGGCTGGCGGTTCATCTCCCCTCAGTATCTTACCTATTACGCCACTTCTTAATTTATGGTCCAGCACACGGAATGGGAGTTCCCCCAAGGGGAATCCTGCAAAACCATCAACCTGCTGTTGAAAGCGCATCTGCAACCCCAGAATTGTGTAAGTGAATACTTCCTACCATAAATTACCCACAGAACAATTTCTCCCCAAATTTGCATGAGTATTTCTCAGTCTTAAAACCTTCCAAGGGTGGGGAAATGTGTCATTATGGAGCAGAGGGAGAGGAGGAGTGGGGCAAAGAGAGCCCCCCCTCATCCATCCGGATGCACCCCTTTTCCCGGGCATCTGGCAATCTCATGCAAATTCAAACCAGCGCACAAATGCAAAGAATAATTGCCCATTAAAGTGGTTGTATATTTTTATGGCTTTGATGCAGAATCCGCCCCCCTGTCGGGTTTTGCATCTGCTACTCTTCCATCTCTCCCAGAGCTCTAAAACTTTAATATGCAGTTTATAACCCTCAAGTATTTTCCGCTGGTTTTGTGTTTCTTCTCTTGGGAATTCCTGGCTGGTGAGATGATCTCATTTATGTTTATTTTTGAAGGTAAGCACCATGTTCGTAAAAGAGAGGGAGAGAAGACACACTCATCACTGTAAATACATTGAGTGCAGGGCTCCTTTGAGGTGGGAGGTGGGGGCTTTGTTTCTGAGGGGGAGGCAGGCAGTTAGCAGTTGACACTTTAGTAAATGGCCCATTTGGCTGGTTGATACGCCCACACATCTTCCGTTTTAAAATGTTGATTTGCCGTGATACTTCAGCACCACCACTGCATGCCTCTTGTTACATCCCTACAGCTTCCATTTCATCGAGTTCCACGGGAGAGAACGTCTTATTCCCAGGAACGGAGATGGTTACTCCACTAACCTCCCCCAAAATATGCTCCGTATGTAAATCTAGCTGAAGGGTGAGAGTGGGTGGGTTGGAAATGCTGATCTGTCAACAAGATGCTCAATTGGTATTTTCTCCAAAAGCTCTTGCCCTGTTTTGAGAGAAATTCATTTTTAGCTTATGAGCTAAATCCAATTTGTGTGGCAGTGATACCAGATTTTTCTCTTTGATTCATGTTGGATAAAGTTTCAGAAGGCATCTCTTCAGTATAATGAACCTACAGGTTTTCTTGTCTCCTTCATGCCAAAAACTAAGGATTTATACTGTTGATTTGTATCCACAAATCAACCTGCATCCTTTCCCCATTGGTCCTTAATGGTGGTCTGCTTACATGTGAGTTAACTTGAAGTTGAACTAGG